AACAAAACAAAAAAACAAAAACACTCAAATTGGAATCTAAAAGGAAATTTATCAGTCAACCAAGATTTATCCCAATGAGCTTTTGGTAACTCCCCAAAAGTTTTGTCAGGAAGGCTTGTTCCCTACCCTGGTTTTCCTACAGAAGAGTTAACCCCAACTTAGCTATCTACTAGGACCTAGTGCAGGCTGCACACTACTCGACTTTTTATGTCGACCGCAGAAATGAAAGTCAGAGCCTTTGTCTACAAGCACCAGTTTATCTGACATTTAGGAGGTTAGTGGAATAATTCAGCAGGTGAAAGTGGTGAAAGAATTTGAGTGACAGGAAGAATGTGACTCAGAAGGGAGCTAAAGAATTACAAGCAAGACTCTCAAGCCTCAGAAGCAAACAGAGCAAAACATTTATGGTATAGGAAAATATTATGCAGCAAAGACATTTTATCTTTTTCTTGCATGAACATACATAAAACATAAACCTACCAGATGCATAGTTGTTTTGATCTCAGAGGAGTTTACAATGTCCTGTTTCATGATCAAGTTATCTTATTATGGGAATCTTTGAAATGGCAGATGCCCTAATGGCCTTTAACTGTCTGATCTATGTCTGCAAGAGTGTAACCATAGAGTTAAAACAAGACAATAAGATACAGGGTCTTTCTCACCTCCTGTCTCAGCTCACCAACAAAGGGACTCAGGATAGAGAAAGGCAATTTGTTCCCTCTACTGCCTGTGGCAAGTTAAAGAAACCATATGTCCAAGGACCAGTAGCTGCAGAGAGCCAAGAGTACCAAAGGCAGGGAACAGAGAGATCAAATCAGAAAGGAAAACTGAGGGAAGACTGGGCCAACATTCCCTCCACTCAGAGGATAGACTTAGCAGACGTCAGTGAAATCTGTCCCTTGAGACTCTAAGATTGGGAACCATGCTAATCACTTTTAATTGGTGGCTATGGCCCCAATACTGTTTTGAGCAGAAAGCCACAAAGTGAAATCAAAGAGTGTATGAACGTATAGACTTTACGTACTTTCTCTTGAGATCCTGGATAGACCTTCAGCTATGTTACTGCAACACCAGGTTCATTGTGACAAAGAATGAAACCATAGGCACAGGAGGTAGGGTAAAAGAAAATTTATTTAAAAGACATAAAGGCAAAGAAGTAAATATCCTGCTAGCTGGAAGGGGTTCAGAGTAGGATACCCATGAGGTCTCTTTGTCTAGGGACTTTTAAGGGGTTTAGAAGGGAGCTTGGGCTGTTGTATAAGAAACACAATTTCTGCCCTATAGGGGACTATATACTTTTTAGGGTTTGTTATGGTTGATACATTGTGTGAACTTGGGGAGTCAGAGGTTTGGCTAAGTGACTCAGCAGGAAGCCAGGGTGCTTACTTTGTAGACATCCTGAGCCTGTGGAAGAGGAGAGCATGGAAATTATGTGAGAGCTACATGCCCCTTAGGTGGGGGTAGTCTGTTTACAATGTAAGGGAAGGAAAGAGGCTGCTTGCCACCATTCCTCCCTTTTGCTCTGGCTGCTTTGCTGTTCGGCTGCCATTCCCCTCTTTGCTCTTGTTGCTTTGTTATCTTCTGCCTCAGAGCCAGCCAAGTATGGACTGAAACCTCCACAAACTGTAAGCTAAATAAACCTTTCCTTCCTTCATTTTGGGCGCTGGGTATTTTGTCTCAGCAAGGAGAGAAAAGTAAACAAGACAGGGTCCAATGTATGCCATGTCCATGCAGTGCTCATCCAGGGCCCAGGTGCTTTTGAGCCAGTATCTGATCCTGCATGATCTGGAAGGTCCCAGACAGTCGAGGGACACATGGTAGATGTCTCTGTAAGATCCTTAGAAGGCTGTGACTCAGCAGATTCCATTTGGGGCTACTGTTCTTACTGGCTAATAGAATCCTAACTCTTGTCTCACTAATTCCTGTTGTATTTATATGAACCATCATCCCAAAACCCTTGCCAAGGAGGAGGAAGATGCTGAGCCAAACTAACGCCAGAACTCTAGGGTGGGTGGACATGGTCCCCACCACCACAGTCAGTGTCAGCTATCAAAGCTGAGGGAGCAGAGCAACCAAGAGGAAGCAAAGTAAGAGGTCAGGAGTGCAAGGATAAGCCAAAAAGTAAGAGAAATGGGCCTAGGGCTCTTTTGCTCTTTTGTGTGTGTGTCTCTGTGTGCATGTCTTTTTGAGACAGGGTCTCACTATGCAGTTCAGGCTGACCTTGAACTCACTTTGTACCCCAGGCTGGTCTCAAACTCACAAAAATTCCCCTGCCTCAGCCTCCTGAGTGCTGGGATTACAGGCGTGCACCACCATACCCAGCCTTCCTCCTCTCCTCTCCTCTCCTCTCTTCTCCTCTCCTCTTTTTTCCTTTCTTCTCTTCTTCTCTTCTCTTTTCTTTCTCCCCTTCCTTTTTTTTCCCTGTCGTCTTCTCTGCCCTCATCTCCCTTTTTCCCTTCCTTCCTTCCTTCCTTCCTTCCTTCCTTCCTTCCTTCCTTCCTTCTTTGCTTCCCTGGAGACTGAACTCAGGAGTGCTCTACAACTGAGCCATACTTCCACTCCTTTTTATCATATTTTTAAAAAATTCTGAGACAAGTACTTTCTGAATTCTCCACGCTGGTCTCAAACCTGCAGTCTTTCTGCAACAGCCTCCCAAGTAGCTAGGATGACAAATGCAGGCAACCATACCCACCTCACCCCAGAGCTTTGTGACCTGAAACAGAGTAGGTGGGATGTGGAGGTGGGGCAGCCATCAATAAGACCAGAGTTCAGGGTGATGCATCAAAGGCCTGGGTGGAGCTGGAGCAAGAAGCCAAGGTTCAGGCGGCAATTTGAAAGGCCACAAGGTCCACTCAATCGAATTCAGTATCATCTGCATATTTTTTTTCTTTTCTTGAGACAAGATTTCAGTTCAGGCTTGCCTCAGACTTGCTGTTAGCCCAGACTGACCTTGAACTCACAGTCATCCTGCCTCAGACCTCCTAGGGAGCTGGGATTACACACATGTGCGTCACACCCACTGACCTGTGCGATCTGTTCGGGTGTCCTTTACTTGACTTTCTGCAGATCCATTCTCCCAAAGGATGACTATTTCAAGCAGAACAACACCCTGTTTCAGCTACATCCTACACTACTACCACAAAACAACAAAAAAGCAGGAAGTCTTTGTGTCATGCATTCCAGAGTAGCATAAATGCCAGTAAGAAATAACTATGAAGTGGGCACAGGGGCACACTCTGGGAGGCTAAGGCAGAAGGATTGCAAGTTCAAGCTCAGCCCATGCAAGTTACTGACTTAGTGGCTCCTCTCACAATAAGAAAATTAAGCTAGGTATGGTGACACACATTTTAATCCCAGCACTCAGAAGGCAGGGGCAGGAGAATCTCCTTGAATTTGAGGCCAACCTGGGCTACACAGTGAGCTCAAGGTCAGTCTCAACTACACAGGGAGACCTTGTCTCAAAACAAAACAAAATAACCCAAAACTAAAGAAATTAAATAGACATACATACATACAGGGCTGGGGATGTAGCTCAGGGCCCTGGGTTCCTTCCACTAATTTTATGAAACAGCAAGATAATTCTAAAATTAAACTACACTCTATCGTTCAGCAGAGAGCAATTAAGAGGCTGTCTTAAGAGTACTTCAGAGTATAGGATGTTGCTTTATGCTACAATGAAACAGGCTAACGAAACACAAAGCATGTGACATTTATATGCTTAAAAAGTGATAACAAACAAAAACCCTCTTTCCCAGCCTAGGGCCTTTGAGCTGTTCCTCTGATTAAAGCTTTATCCCTGAAACAGGGAACAAAAATAGGCAAAATCTCCACATTCTAGGAGCCTGCAGTCTAATATCAGAAACTCATTACAATAGTTTAAATTTGAGCTAGAAGTAATTGCAACCAAAAAAAAAAAAAAGAGAGAGAGAGAAAGGAGAAATATTATTTTGTAAAAGAGACACAAATTTCAAGACAGCTCCAGAGTGTCCCCGGAGCACTTGTCTGCTTCCAGAGACTCGCTCTGCCCTCCCATCCCCAGCCCTTCTCAGGAGGGCCTGTCCCAGTTCCCAGAGCAGGGGGTGGGGTGGGGGTGAACCATGTGCGCTGCTTGTGTAATGCTAGAGAAGGGCGCAGAAGCAAAGCCCTACTTATGCCTTCAGGGAAGAGCCGCTGCCTCTCTGCAGGACTTGGGCCCAGCAGCCCTATCTGCTGGCCAGCACCATCCAGAGTGCACCTTGGCAAGAGAGCAAATTGCTTGTCTTCAGTGACAGTGTGATTGACAGGGACAGTGTTATACTGTTCTGGCCTCCAGATCAGAATTCCCCTAGGTGAGAGAGAATGAAGAGGAGTCCCATGTGACCATAAAGCAACAGCCCAGAAAAGTAGCAAAAGACTCTTTCCTATTTCAGCATTTTGCTTTACCTTGTTTTGTTGTACCCCATTTCTGTGTACCTGTAGAATCCATATGTTCATAATTTTTTGATAGCTAAAGAAGGCTCTTGTTGCCTTCTGTTGGTGCTTAAGTAAATTATACGAACTACCCACCACTTACTATCTCTACAACAAGGCAGACCAAGTACCATACATTTAATATGTATCAATATATTATCTCATGAAATTGCTATAATAATCCCATAGGGGAAAAGTTGCTAGGTCTAACAACGATAAAACTGAACAAGGTAAGGAGGTCAGTATTCCAACCCATTCTATTTAACTCCCAAGTTCAAGCCTTTATCCTTTCTACCAGCTAATCTATTCACAAGGCATCGTTGGGAGCCTGCTATAAACTGTCCTGCCCCTCACACGGATTCTGGAGTCACTGCACGTTTTCCATTTCATAACATTTCTATATGTGCCCACTTTTATCTCACAAGGCCTCCTGTCGACCTGTTTGTTTTGCTCATGAGATGAGCTTTTGCTTTTTAACATTCCTAGAAACAAAATGCTAGGCTGGATTAGGCATTGCTTTAAGCCACGGCATCAACTCTCTATGTTTCTGCTACAAAAACTTTTATCCAGGACCTTAGGTAATTTTTCCCTTTTTATTCAACCTGATTGTATATGTTTTCTCTGCCAAGAAAATTTCTATTTCTACAAAGTAAAGATTAAAGGGAGTCTCCTATAACCTTTTCCTTGGGCTAAGACAAGCTAATTGTATCTGAGAAGCTTCAAAAGTCCTGGGGATATTTTTAAAATTGTTTTGTTAGTGTTTCTAGTACATAAGGTTTACATTCATTCCCACCAACAATGTAGGAGGATTCACCAAAGCCATTACCAGCCTCTGCTATTCTTTGACTTCTCGACGACTGCTATTCTTTCTGCTGTCAGATGGAATCTTTGCATTGTTGTAGTTTGAATTTCTCTACGGCCGATAACGTTGAACATTGTTTTCATGTGAGGACTAGGATCCATGCTGCCTCAAATCAAGGACTTACTAGAAGCCAGCAGAAAAGCCTGGGTCAGATCTCACCTTGCCACTCACAGAGGGAACGTGGCCTGGCTGACATCTTGATCTCTTACTTGTAGCCTCAGAACTGTAAGAAGATAAATTTGGACTGTTTAAGCTATTTAGTTTTCAGGATCTTGTTAAAGCATCTGTAGCAAACTAATAGTTTTCTATGATGAAATGGAAAAGGTGAACTAAGATTACTTTTATTCATTAGAAAGTCGAGGTCTGCAAAAAAGTGACAGAGTTTGACCTAAATCTGTTTGTCTAAGCAATGTACTGCCCTCTGCACAATGGAAGGTGATGCCCCACCCCATAGGGGGAGCAGGACAGGTGTCTTGGTTACTTTTCTCTCCTTGCTGAGACAAAATACCCAGCGCCCAAAATGAAGGAAGGAAAGGTTTATTTAGCTTACAGTTTGTGAAGGTTTCAGTCCATACTTGGCTGGCTCTGAGGCAGAAGATAACAAAGTAACAAGAGCAAAGAGGGATTCGCAGCAAAGCAGCCAGAGCAAGAGGGAGGAATGGTGGCAAGCAGCCTCTTTCCCTGCCTTACATTGTAAACAGGCTACCCCCACCTGAGGGGAGTGTAGCTCTCACATAATTTCCATGCTCTCCTCTTGCACAGGCTCAGGATGTCTACAAAGTAAGCACCCTGGCTTCCTGCTGAGTCACTTAGCCAAACCTCTGACTCCCCAAGTTGACACAATGTATCAACCATAACAACAGGTGAAGCCAGAATTCCAGAGCATAGAAGTTCCCATGCCTTCTTCCCTATACTCCTCCCATGTACTCCTTCTGCCTACTTTAAACTTTTATCTCCTATTGAATTAATTTACAAGATTGCAACTTAGAAGTTCTAAAAGACAAAAATGGATTGGCAGAGAAATAACTTAAAAACTTGAAGGCAGGATTTACTTTGGCATTTTAATTCCTCTCTTTGGCCCCCTGTCTTTTTGTTGCCTCTCTGGCCAGGTCAGAGTTCAGAACTCACCTGCCAGTTCTGAGAAATCCAAGCATCTGTGGGAGAGAGGCCAACTGCCATTGCCCGTTTGCTTAGCATCAATGTGGGGTGCTTGGTGCAGTTCTCTTGCTTTGCCTTCTCCCTCATGAGCAGCTCTCCCAAGTACTCAAGACAAGTGAGCCATACTCTCTAAAGGGGTTTCGAGTTGGATAGACTGACATTTTCAAGCACAACTGCTTTGCGTTTACAATTCATAGACTGACATCTTCACTGCTGCCCAAGGCTCGTACACTGACATCTCCACTCTTTCTCCCCCAATTGCTTCAAAAGAAGCTTTCATTTTTCATTGAGACCAGGGTGATGAAGAGGGAATTGGAAGCATGTGTGAGAATTCCATTCTACCCTTTCTTCATCCTGGGTTTGATCAATTGATCAATCGATGGATCACACAGGAAGAAAAAAATAGGCATTAAAGTAGTTCTCTATTCTCAGAAACAACATGTTAATCCAGATACACAAGAATGAATATCTTATGATTCCATGGTATGTGGTACCTAGCAGGCAAATTTAGAGAGGCAGAAATTAGAACAGACATTATGAAAGGCTGAGGAGCAGAGGCATGGGGTGCCATTGTGTAAAGGACAGAGTTTTGGTTTGAGATGATGAAAAGTTCTCGAGATGGGAAGTGGTGATGATTGTAGAACACTGTGAATGCACTTAATGTTGCCAAATTGTGCCCTTAAAGATACCTTGTGTTTTGCTACAAGGAAAAAGAAAATAAAGTTCCAAAGGTAAAATGAGCATTCTTACTACCACTCCCAGCTAATTACTCCTCTTTCTGGGCTACTATGATTACCATTTTTGGGCAATTATGTTAGGTAATTTGATTGATTCTTTTACTGATTGTTTTAGGACACGCTCCTTGTTTCCTCAAGAAGGAGAATTCTAGTCTCAAACCCACTTCCTCCAACAGTGCCAACGGTGCTCAAAGGTTTTTATTTTGTTAGATCCCAGAGCCTGTCTTTTCAATTCCTTCCCTAGAGAAAGTGAGACTTACGGTGAGGGAGGAGTGAACTGTGAACTGGAATCTCAGAGCTCTCACTGCTGCCATGTCCCTCGGAGCTCTGCATTACCTGTGCTCCTCTCTGTTTGGGTGCTGAGACTCTGCTTCCCGGTTTCCCAACCATATTGCTCCGGCTTGTCAGAGAAGGCACGGAGAAGTCTGGATTGCAGGATGTCCCTACAGGATGTAGAGCCAGAGTCAACCTGCAGGGGGAGCCAGAGAGCCGACCCTTTTCCGCTACCTCCATCTGCCAAGCTGGCGAGGGACTCAACCAGGTGGCACAGTGCAGGCAGCTCCGTTGAAATGTTGGAGCAATTGTAATTACACATTCAATTCTGAAAACATAACGAAAATTAGGAGAAAGAATGCAAAGGAACAGGAGAATAAAGAGAGAAACTAGTAAAGTTGGTGGAGATAGGGTGGTCATGAAGGGTCTAAACGCTAGAAGGTGAGAGAGGAAAAAAAAAACAATCAGAGAGAAAAAGAAGCTTTCGCTTAACATTAATGTTGGGCTAAAAAGGGAGGGAGGGGAAGGAAGAAGAGAGGAGAGGGAGAGGGCAGAGAAGGCTAAATTCACCGACTTAAGGTGTCGACCTCGGAGCGGTGTCTGATTTAGAATCAAAAAGGATTAGTAAAGAAGAATTAGTGGGCTGAGGATGCCAGCTGGGCTGGTAATGAGATCCTCGGCAATAGGTCATTTAGTGTCTGGTTATTGTGTTTGATGGTACCAAGCCAAAGACAGTAATAAGACTTGATTTATAATTACCTATCTTTACATAGCTTGTTCTCTAGGTAGTGTAGAGCTTCTGTCGGGCTGAGCAGGTGTTGTTTGGGGGGCCTTTGTGGACACAGTAAAGAGGAAGGGTTCTAAATTCCTGGGACGGAGGTAGGATTCTCATCCGCAGGCAGTGAGTTTCTTTGCCTACTTCCTTTGTACTCTGCTAAGCCGTGGCAAGTTACGCTGAGTTTTCCTACTCCAGTAGGGATTTATTTTTAGTAATAGCCAGAGAAAACCAGTCTACTGCCCTCTCACTCTAACCTACACCAAGCCAGGAGACCCCACACCCCTCAGAATTAATACACGCGAAGACTTGGGTAATTACCTGGACTCCTCGTTCCCTTCCCTTTCAAAAAATGCAGGTTTTGGTATATTTCAAAGACAAAAAAGATAGCCACCCAACCGTCTGGTAGGAAAGGTAGCTCTAGATCAGAAAAGGAAATCCATATACTGGGTTAATGAGCCCAGAGATGAAGGGGCCAACTGAAGAGGCAGGAATGACAGAGTTAGGGTAGAGAGGGTGGTCTGGGAATCTCTGAGACTCTAACTGTTGAACTCGGTCAATAGATAATAAAGTTAAGTGTTGGTGTATAATAGTAATAATAATAATTATAAACACATTAACTTACATAATATAGTGACCAAATGAGGTAGCCATAGTGTCATTTCTGTTTTATAAATGTGAGAATATAAAGCGTAGAAAGTTTCAGAATACTGTGTAACCTCTTTTTTGGTACTGGGAATCAAACTCAGGATCTTTTGCTTGCTAGGCAGGTGCTTGTGCCACAGAGCTGTATCCCCAACCCACTGTATAACCTTAAGAAAAAAGTGGAAACTGCAAAAGAGCAGGGATTTGGGTATTTATGTATTTATTTAGACACGGTCTTGCTATGTAGTCCAGGCTGGACTTGAACTCACTATGTAACCCAGGCTGGCCTCAAACTTGCAGCCATCCTGTCTCAGCTTCCCAAGTGCTGGGATTACAGGTGTGAGCCACCACAGTCCATTTGGTTTTTAAAAAATTCACTGCTCAGCACTGAGGAGGCTGAGGCAGGAGGATCATTGTGAGTTCAAGGCCAGCCTGGGCTACAAAGTGAGCTCAAGTCCAGCCTAAACTTTATAGCAAGACCCTGTCTCAAAGACAAAAAATAAATCATTGCTGTTTTCCCATTTCCCAGCACACACTCAATAATTATTTGAGTTTTTGTTTTGTTTTGTTTTGCTCTGTGGTTTTTTTGAGACAAGCTACAATATGTAGCCAGACTGGCCTTGAAATCACGGCAATCCTCCTGCATCAGTCTCCAGGGTTGGGATTACGGGCATGTGCTACCACAGCTGGCTTCAATAATTACTTGTTGAATTAACAGTTAACAGATCCAAAATCATGCAGATGACATAGAAAGACCGGGATAGGTATGAAGTCTGGGAGCTCTAGAAGTTCCAGGCGATCCTGGATACTGTACAGGAGATCAACTTTGAGGGTCTCTCAACCCAAGTTACATGTGCTGGGTAAGTCTTGCCCTTGCTGTCAAAGCTGAATAGCTGATTAAATACTTCCTACCTCATTTTATGAGGCAAACATTACCTGATACCAAGAGAAACACATTATAAAAAGGGAAAATGTAAACCAATATCTCTTATGAACATAGATGCAAGGGGCTGGGGATTTAGCTCAGCGGCAAAAGCACCTGCCTGGCAAGTGCAAGGTCGTGAGTTCGGTTCCCCGTACCGGAGAAAAACCAAAAAAAAAAAAAAAAAAAAACAAAAAAAAAAACATAGATGCAAAAATCCATAACAAAATATTAGTGAATTGAACCCAGTAATGAATAAAGAGAACTATATGCTGTAATCAAATGGGATTTATTCTGGGTATGTTAGGCTGGTTAAACATGTAAAAATCAGCTTAACCTACCACATCAATAAGCTAGAGAAGAAATCTTATCAGCTTATCGTTGATGTAGAAAAAGCATTTAACAAAATCTAATATTCATTTATAATAAAAAAAAAACCTCTCAGCAAACTGAATAAAAGGGGAACTTCACCAACTTGATAAAAATATCTATACAAAACTCATAGCTCAAGTTCATGCATTGTATTTCCCACTCTGATGGAAGATACTGATAATAAGGAAGGATATGCACATATAGGGACAAATCTGTGAGAAATTCATGTATTTTCACTTCATTTTTGCTGTGAACTTAAAACTGCTTTATAAACTAGTCTATTAAAAATACAAACTGGTATAAAATCCCCCAAAGCAATTTTTGTTTTTACAGTTTTGGGGGTTGCACACAGAGCCTTCACACAGACATAAACCCCTGACCCCATGTTGCTCGGTTGCCCAGGCTGGGCTTGAACTTGTGACGTCCTGCATCAGCCTTCCAAAGTGCGCAGTCTCAAAATGCCCAGCTTCAAAATTATTTAACTTGCCAAAATAATACTTATGCTCAACTGAACAATAAGCTTAGGCAAGATACATAAGAAAAATTCTAACAAAGAATAAAGAGGGATTAGCTCTTCCATCTATTAAAATGTATGACAGCACATTTATAAGTCTGAAAGGGCAATAGATAATGGAAATAAATGACAGAGCAAAATAAAATTTTCAGAAGATAAAAGGAAAATTTACAGCTAACGTATTTAATGATGAGAAAGTGGACACTGTCTCAAGACTGAGAAAAAGGCAAGAATATTCTTTCCTTCCACTCCTATTCAACATCACCTTGTAAGTCTTAGCGAGTGCAATAAGACAAGAAAAGGACATGAAAGATACAGAGATTGGGAAGGAAGAAATAAAACTATCTTGGTGGAAGACATGTTTTAAAATCTCAAAGAATCAAGCAAACAGAATTAATGAACAAGCACGACAAAGTCTTAGGATACAAGGTTAATACACAAAAGTCAATTGCTTTCCTTTATACCAGCAATAAACTATTGGAATTTGAGATTTTAAAAATAATATATTTACCAAAATAATCAAAGTAAAATACTTAAGTATAAATCTAACATAATATGTGCATGGGGTATATATAATGCAAAGTATAAAACTCTGATGGAAAAAAATGAGACAGTCTATGTTCATTGGAAAATTCAATATTAAAATGTCCATTCTTCCCAACTCAATCTACAGATTCAATATAATCCCAATCAAAATCTCAGCAAGATATTTTGTAGAGGTTGTTTTATTTATTCTAATGTTTATGTTCAAAAGACAAGATTAGCAGGGCGTAGTGGTGCACATCACACCTGTAATCCCAGCACTGGGGTGGCTGAGCCAAAAGGATCACCATAAATTCAAGGCCACCCTAAACTACATAAGAGACCCTGTCTCAAAAAACCAAAACCAAAGCAAAACAGGAGACATAGATTAGACAGTACAGTGTTGAAAAGAATAAAGTTGGAGGACTCACAGTTGGAGAATTAATTTCATGACTTATTATAAAACTACATAATGAAGATAGTATGGTATTGGTAAAAAAAATAGACACATAAATCAATGGAATAGAATGAATACCCCATAAATAGAGCCACACAAATATAGTCAACTAATTTTGATTGAAGATCGAAAGCAGTTCCGTGCAGAAAGAGTAATCTTTTCAACAAATATTCAACAATTAGGACGTATGTAAAAAAAGAACCTAGATGCAGACCTTACGTATTTCACAAAAAATCAAGTCAAAATGGATCATAAACCAAAATTATAAAACTTCTAGAAGAGAACATAGAAGAAAATCAGAATGAAGTGATAACTTTTTAGAAACAAACTAGCAGCATGATCAACAAAAAACTGATAAATGCAACTTTATTAAAATTTTCTGCTATACAGAAGACAACGTTAAAAATAAGACAAACCACAGACTTAGAGAAAATATTTGCAAAACATATCTGCTAAAGATGTATGAAGTATTTTAAGAACTCTTAAAACTCAATAATTAGAAAACAATCAAATTTAAGAGGACCAGGGCTGGGGATGTTGTTTAGCAGTAGGTACTTGCCTAGCATACATGAAGCCATGGGTTTGATTTGGAAAAACAAAGTTGACAGACACTTCACCAGAGAATATGTACAGAAAGCAAATAAGCATATGAAAAGGTATCCAAAATCATTTATTTTAAGGAATTGTGAATTAAAACAATAAGATTTTCTATAAACATCTATTAAAATAGCTAAAATACAAAAAATAAACAAACAAGACCCCTAATAATACCAATTTCTGGCAAGGATACAAATCACCAGAAGCAACCACCCCTTTTTGCTTGAAGTATAAAATTGTACACTGACTTTGGAAGACAGATTTGGCAGTTTCTCACACAGCTAAGTGCAGTCTTTACATGCAATCCAGCAAATGTGTTCCTTGGTATTTACCCAAATGAGTTGAAAATTTATGTACCACAATTCCTCCCCTTGAATGTTCATAGAAGCTTTATTTATAGTTGACAAAACCTGGAAGCAGCCAAGATGTCTGCCAATAAATAAATGAATGGATAAACTGATACACCTATACAATAAAATATTCTTCAGCAATAAAAAGAAATAACTTATCAAGCTATGAATAGACATAGACTAATCTTAAACACATATTTGTACTTGAAAGAAGCAAGTCTGAAAAGGCCACATGCTCCATGATTCCATGATACGTCATTCTGGAAAAGGCAAAACTACAGCAGTGATAACAGATCAGTGGTAACCAGAGGCTGAGAGAGAGCCACATGATTTTTTAGGGTGACGAAACTATTCAGTATGATAACTGTGGATTCATAACACTATGTATTTGCCACCTGTAGAACTTCAAAGACTTTTAGAGCACCTGTAGAGCACAAATGATGAGCCTTAAGGTATGCAATTTCAAAAATCATGTATGAATCCAAAATGGCTTGCAGAATATGACAAAACTAACTGTACCACATATATACGAAGCAATCTCACAAAAAAGAGTAGAGATAAAGATACTGATTTACATACTTTGGAAATAGGAGGCATCTAGTATTAAATGTAAAAGACATTGTACATAAGCACTGTACTCTAGTTGATAAAGTTTAAAAAAAAAAATGAGACAGTTTG